CAGAGATAAATTAGTTTTTTCAATTCTGTCTATTCTTGAACTAAGATTGGAGTTCATTTCCTTCATGTACAAAAACACCTGATTTAACGTGACATATTTTAGTAATTATAATATGCAGCTAAATATTTCATCAAATATTTACTTATTTTGTTCTTAAAATATTGTAGTTTTTTACCCACAATAAATAATCCGAAAACTATTAAAAGCAGGGTTCTACCAAATCTCATCACCCTACTCTAGAAGAACTACCTAAACTTCGTTATAGATGGCGACCATAAAAAACACATATTTCTACTAAACTTAGCCCAACTAGATACCTAAAGGACCCCCGGCCCTTTTTACCTGAGTTCGAGGTTTGCGTATTATACGTAGATCTGCACTAATCCAAACATAATAGGTTATTTAGTTGAAAACGTTGTGTGCCAATATTTCTGCATTTTACTTATTTTTTTGTTTTAAATTTTTGAGAAAGATATTGTAATTATTCTGATGTTATTTTTCCCTTTTGTATGTATTTTGTAATGAAATAAGATATTTTTAGCCGTTTTGAAACCATACACTGTGGAAGCTCACGATGGATACGTACGCTACTATATACCCTCCCTAAAAATTCCCACCTCCTTTTTTTTTAGTTTATTATTGGTTTTCTTAAGGATTTTACATTTTCTAGGACATTTTATTTTCCTATTTCCCTGCTATAGGAGTTTTCATCCTTTTCACTTTTCAGGGTGGTCTGCCCTGATTACAAAAGTAACCTAATTGTCGAGTGCGCGTGTGGGACCTGTGTGGCAGGTTGTGTTCCCCAAGAATATTGTCAATTTTGCTATTTCCAATACCATAAATGGACAAGTCCAAGTATAAAGTGGGGAATATGATTTGGGAAAACAACGAAACCTAAATCACGATATTGTACATATGTTGTGAATTTCTAATTATGTGATTGGGAAGGTTTTATCTAATACTTAGAGGGGCTGATTCCGGCAGATCCTGGAGTTCAGCGGTGAGGGGGAGGTCTTGGGTGTCTGAGAGAAGTTTCAGATTTGGTTGTGGCATTTTTCTTTTCGGTTTTCGAAAAAGTGGGAGTTGGTTGGGGCGCCATGGGGTTCGTAGGCGCCCTATGCTATTCATAATATACAAGTCTGAAGATGCGCGAAGGGTGTGGTTCTACCCCTTTCCACCAATGTTTACGTAGCCAGTGTCTGCTGAAGACTAACGCTTCTATCTAGCTATGGCGGTTGAGAGTCAAGGATGTGTAGACATGAACTTATTTTCCCTATGCCACAATAGTAATCACTGAGATGTATTTAGACTAAACTCATTATATGATATACATAGTAATTACTATCTAAGAGGTACTTACACTTCAATGGGTACTTACTATGCTCGTTACACATTACATAGTAAATACTCTCTGAGAGGTACTTACACCTCTGAGAGGTACTTACACATCTAGGTATATGGAGTAATGAGAGGTGCCATTACACTATGCAACTACACTTATTACAGTACATGATAGTAATTGGGAGGTACTTGATAATTGCGCGAAGGGTAAGGGGTGGGTACTTAGGATAATTACTATTTTCCCAATTACCTCTCTCTGTACCTCTGACCTTGGTCCAGAACTGGCTAATCTCATCCACTTTCCTTCGATACATTACTGGTCCAGGAGCCAGTGAATTTTTTTCGTACTTGTTTTGCCGTTATTTAAATAATCTTTTCCCAGTGAACTGTATATTTAAAATGGAACGCCAGTATGTATTAACAAAAGTAAGCCAAATTGAATTTGTCGTAATTAGTGTATAATGTGTTTCCTACGTTAATCATGAAAACAGCTGTTGATATTCAGAGCAGTGGCGGCTTGTGGTAATTTAAAATGAATGTTCACTTTTTCCAATATTTTTATCATTTCAAAGCTTCGTACAATATCATACTGTTTTCAAGAACTACAACTATTAATGAATTAATAAATGAATATTTTAGTTATTGTAATATATGTTTTGTTTTAATATGTTAAAAAAAACATTTATAAACATTATTAGTTAGTCAACTGACTTTTCTTCATGTTTTGAGATTATTTTTAAATATATATCAGGTTATGTAGAAAGCTTGATATTGATTTTTTGTGTAAAAAATATTATTATATGAAACTTTACCTACCATTTTTCAGTTTTTATTGTAAATTTAATAATTTGTCATACATGTTAAATAAAATAATCTTTTTTTAAATACCTTTTATTGGCAAAAAAACAAGTGAACTAAAAATGTGTATTTTATAAGATCAGTCACATCACAATACATAATGTTACACAGATACAAACTAGAATGAAGATATATAATTTTCACAGTTTAACAGACCCCCTTAACTCCCATTTTCAATCAGATTTTTTTCAAAAGCAATAGGCTTCATCCCCTTGTAGAGCTTGATTTTTCCAAAAATTTTAAGTTGATTTTATTTTTGAGTTAGATTTATTTTAACCCCTTCTTAACCCACGACTTTTATTCAATTTTTTTTTTCGCAATCAATAAGCCTCATCTCTTTATAGAGCTTGATTTCTACTAAAAATTTCATGTTGATATCGCTTTTCATTTTTGTATTATGATTTTTTTTTAATTGCAAGACCCCCTACCCCCATTTTTAAACAGATTATTTTTTAATTAAAGGGCTTCTTCACCTTATAGAGTTTGATGTTTGTTAAAAATTTGAAGATAATATAATTTTTCATTTTTTGTTAAGATTTTTTTCTTAATATTTTAACCCTCCCCAATTTATTCCGATTTTTTTCAAAATCAATAGGCTTTATCTCTTTTTATAGAGTTTCATTTTTACTAAACGTTTCATGTTGATATCGTTTTTAATTTAGGATTTGTTTTTTTTTAATTTGAACCCATCTTAACCCTCTAATTTAAACAGATTTTTTTCAAAAACAATAGGCTTTAACCCCTTATAGAGCTTGTTTTTCGCTTAAAATTTTCAAGTTGATATCATTTGATATATTTTACCTGAATTTATTTGCCACAAAATTATCAAAAAATTTAAATTGCACTAAAATAAAATAGAAATAATAGTACATTATATACCTAGGGTGAGAAGTGAGCTATTATTTACCGAGCACTTTTGTGCGAGGTAAATAATAGCTTTCTCAGCCGAGGTATATATAGAATTTTTTTTACTACTAACATTAATGTATTAGCAATTTTAATTTTGACATAAGTAATTTCCTAACAATTTGTTAAATATTTCGAAATATCAAGCAGACTGGAGCGTGTTTCTAATCAGATTGGCTTTATTTATGTAAAAATTTGGCATGTGTCAAATTTTGGTATGATTCTAGGAAATATCCCATTGCATTTTTGATATTTTAATGACATGGATTTATTGTTATTAATTAATAATTTTTAAAGCGGTGTTGAATTTCCTAGTTAATATATATTTTTACTGTTTACACTGATATATATTATCATATTTGATTTGATTAGATTTGATAAACCCAGCTTTAGATATTTCCTACTTATTTTTCAAATATTTCAAAATATCAAGTAGTCTGGGAGTTTAGTTGTCAAATTAACAAAATGAAACTAATGAAATTTAGTTTCATTATCTACCTAGGTTTTTTTTTTATTATCATTATTTACCTAGGGAGAGAAATATTACTTCTCATTAGAGGAATGGAGTAAATAATGGTGATTTCTCATGTTAGTAGTAAAAAAAATAGTTTTTTTATGATACATTAAGGGACACATGTAAAAAAATAGGTTTTAAGAAATAGTATTCTATATTTCCTTATATTAAAATAATATCAAAACGAATTTATACACACTGTAAATCAACTTCTATCATGCCGACGCTGACGCATCAGAAAGCAATACGGAAAGTGTGTGAATATTTTATAAAGGCCGATATATAAACTTGAAGTTAAAGTTACCGCTCGCAGTTGTAGTTCCCGTTGGAAGTTAAAAAGATAACTTCCACATTAGAGCATATTATATACTCTGTTAGTGTTACCGTTCGCTGTTGCACATTCAAACATAACAAAGTTTTAAGTTCAACGGCGACTGCAACGTCAAACAAACGGCAACGGCGACAGAAACTGCATGTTTATAAAACGACCTTAAGGATGTATGAGGATTTCGGAGGAAGTATGAAGGATGTACGAGGATTTTCGAGAATGTATGAAGGATGTATCCGCGGATGCATAAGGATTTACAAGGAAGTATGAGGATTTATAATAGAATATTTCTACCAAAAAGATGTAGGTGTACAAAATTTAGGTAAGTGGTTTGCCCCTCATAGTGCAAGCATCAATAGGAAACACAACTGATACAAGCAGATAAAATAAACAGTATCACAAATCACAATATTATGCTGGGAAAGAAATTACATCAGGACAGTGATTGTTAAAATTAGATTTTTTATCACAATATATTTTTTTTGTCCGGATGGAAATAGGTATATTTAAACGGTTCTCAAAATATAAAGTTTATCGTTTGCCTTAAAAGTAGATAGTAGTTAAAAAAACAATTTGAAATACATTTTCCTCTATTGGTAAGCAATATCATATTAGCAAATCTCTTGGTCAGAAGTGCTCACGCATCAAGGATATTATATCTACGTATGTAACCGTAGAAGCCAGCCATATATATGTACACATACAACAGGGGCTACTGATAGCCTTATCTTTATTGCACATCGGCCGCAAATGAGCAATTACTTAGGAGAGAAATGGACGTGTGAGTTAAAATCGCTACCGCTGCATGTGTTTCTGTTTCTATATATTGTGTCTGTGTGCTTGTGTCCTGTGTACAATGTACGTTTCGCCGCTTTATGAAACAACATTCGTCTGTAATTGCCATACGTGATTCAACCGCTGCGCGCTGTACTACAATTTTTATTTTTCGTTATAATGCGAATAGTAGTTTGACTTGGTATTGGTGGTAGGGATAATATACGAAAAAAAATATATATAATAAATAATAGTTACATAATTTCTGTTATTGGCATTCTAAATTTTAATTTTAAATATATTAACAATATTCTTAATCACATTCTTAACCATTTTCTTAACCATATTTCTAACCATATTCTTAACCATATTGTTAACCATATTGTTAACCATATTGTTAACCATATTGTTAACCATATTGTTAACCATATTGTTAACCATATTGTTAACCATATTGTTAACCATATTGTTAACCATATTGTTAACCATATTGTTAAACATATTGTTAACCATATTGTTAACCATATTGTTAACCATATTGTTAACCATATTGTTAACCATATTGTTAACCATATTGTTAACCATATTGTTAACCATATTGTTAACCATATTGTTAACCATATTGTTAACCATATTGTTAACCATATTGTTAACCATATTGTTAACCATATTGTTAACCATATTGTTAACCATATTGTTAACCATATTGTTAACCATATTGTTAACCATATTGTTAACCATATTGTTAACCATATTGTTAACCATATTGTTAACCATATTGTTAACCATATTGTTAACTATATTGTTAACCATATTCTTAACCATATTCTTAACCATATTCTTAACCATATTCTTAACCATATTCTTAACCATATTCTTAACCATATTCTTAACCATATTCTTAACCATATTCTTAACCATATTCTTAACCATATTCTTAACCATATTCTTAACCATATTCTTAACCATATTCTTAACCATATTCTTAACCATATTCTTAACCATATTTTTAACAATATTATTATTCCAATTTTTAACCATATTCTTATCTATAATCTTAACCATATCCTTAACTTTATTCCCTATTTCTTAACCCTATTCGGTTAACCTTATTTTTAATCATTTTTGTATTTGTGTTAACGTTAAGTTACTAATCGTCATATTTTATTAAGTTCACTATAATTGATCTTGTCAGCACTAAATACCCATATTTTTTAAATAAATAATGTAGATTTTTCTTCAGCTGGAATAAATGATAAAAAATAATCTACATATTTTAGATATCTTTCAACCTAAAATAGAAATTCTAAAACCGCAGTGTCGAACTAGGTAATCCATTTCAAATAATTTCCATATTTAACACTTTTTTAAATGATAAACGGAAATAAAAAACGGAACATGTCGGGTTTCCATTCTCCAACGCGTAATTCGGCAAATTTGCAATCGTTATCAACGAAATTGTGTTTAATGCTAGTCCCAAAGAGCTGCTACAGCCGACAATGAAGGTCCGACGCATTAGTAAAAACAGAAATAGCAATTTGATTGTCCTGAAATCCTGAAATTGAAGCCAGATTTTCGCACAATCTGAAATCAGGACCGGACGAAATTACCACATTGACAAATTTGATGGAAAATGGTCAGAATAGCTTACTTATTTAGGTACTGAATTATAACTCTTTCAAACGTGAAGACCTTTGAATGGCAATTGCGGTTAATTTCTTTTAGTTCTCCTTTATATTTTTAGATAGTTTCTTTAAATTCTGCCACTGAATATATCTCTCCTTTGCAGCATATATTTTTTTGTGCAATATTTTTCTTGACCAACCTTTTTGTCCACTTCCTACCCGACAATGGGGTCTATTCTGTAAAAATTCGTTTATATTTAACGGCCTTTAAAAATATTTTCTTCTTTAATTCGGTCACTATTTAAACGAATCTTTAAAATACATTAGAGGACTATCTTAAATAAATCTGTTTAAATAATTATAGAAGTAAATTAACGAATACGAGCATATTTTTATAGGCCGCCAATATTTTTAAAGGCCGTTAAATATAAAGGAATTGTTACAGAATAGACCCCAATTTGTTTAAAGTTTACACATTTAGACTCTGAACCATGCTATATTGCACTTTCGGTGGAAAGGGTACAATTTTTAAAATATTATTTTTTTTTTTAATAATCTATTTAACGTCGACATATTTATAACTACGAAGTTTAAATACGGATGCTAGAAAGCACGCTACCCCCAAATACCAGAAATGTAGTCTAATCCTCTGGTGTTCACCAGAGGTAGAGATGTTACAGCTGAAAGTAAGTCCTTCTTTACTATGTTATACGGCGGACACTAATATTAGGTGTTTGCAGACTAGAAAACATATTGAAAGTATTTAACATTGTACAAAGTACAACGATGACAGATTGATAATATTTAAAACGTTTTGTAAAAACTTCTTCCAGAAACTTCTAGTAGTAAAACAAAAAAGTGGTTTGCATCTGTAACTTGTGCTGGGTAGGTTGCCCCACGGCACTTAGGCCTCAGTATTCCATTTTACATCCTTCTAAATTGATAGGCCCATCTTCTGATAGTGGTATATATTATTACTAAGGCCCTTCCTATGGGGCCTCAGTATTGCATTCGTGCAGACGAAAAAATTTTCTTACTCCCATCTGATCTGATGCAACGGTACTATGTCATTTTTATTTTATAAATAAATATCAGTCATATACTGAACATAATTCTGAACTGAAAGCCAATTTATTTCTTTTAACATAGTTGCAATACCTATCCTTCTATCCTTATAAATAAATATGTACTGAACATAATTCTGAACTGAAAGCCATATTATTTTTTTTAACATAGTTGCAATACTCATCCTTCTGTCCTTTATTAATAGAACATAAATAAGCGAAGTAAGGAGCCCAAATATTTTACATGAGTAGGCCTAAGAGGTAAAGGGGCCAATTATTATTGGATAAATTGCTTAAACAAGTTTTTAAACCCTAATCAACAGGCAATATAGAATGGTTTTAAAAATCAAGGCTTGTGGAAATCATCACATGGTTTAACCTAAGTAATGCCAATGCTTCACAAACCAAAAAATTCAACGTCCTATTACTAATATCAGCTTTCGGTCCTTCGTTCCAAGTTAAATCATTTCTCGTTTTTGTTACGCGTTACGAGTTTACCCTTGTGGGCTTTAGTCTCGATAAGGTGGGCACCACCATTTTAGCGTCTCTCGAATTTATTTTACAATTGTGTTCTTAAATTTTGTGATCTAACTAAACAAATCCGGATCTGTATTTTAACCCGCGCCTGAATCTAAAAGCCTCCGGGACTAAATTCCAATCCTGTCCGACACTGATCTACATAATTTCGGTTCTGTATCAGTGGGCGATCCCTCATCACCGAGTCATAATCACGGTAAGCGAATTTATATAGACAGATCCTCTCCTCCGGCAATCTCATCTCGATTTTGCGTGACAAACCAAATATCACCAAGATTAGATAATTACCATCTAATATATTCATGGGAAATTGATCAAAAGATACGACTGTCCCTTAAATGAGGTTAATCTTATGGAGATTTTACAGCAAGATACAAAATTTAGAAGAGATTATTTCTAAAAGTATCCTTAACCCTAAAACTTTAATTCTAAATTTAAAACAGCTTTAACATGTTCAGAATAATTATTTTTACTTTTAGTAAAGTAAAATATTTTATATTTTTAGAAAAGATGTTTTTTTTACTTTGACAGAACTATTTAACAATTCATCAATCATATCTCAAAAAAAAAATCGCATAATTTAGTTTTTTTGTAATAATTTTTGAGTGGTTTGCTAATTACAAATCTCAAAACAAGAAAGGCAATTTTCGTATACCTATAGGCATTCTAAAGTCATAGTTTTCTAAATAAAAGTTAAAACATAGTTTAATTATATTAAGAAACTTTTAGTATTAGTACTTGAAAATATGATTAATGTATTATTAGCTTTAAGAAGCAGTAAACGGTGAAATAAGGTCCCTTACATTTTTTATTACGGCTTTTAGGAAGGTCGGAAACCTATCGCGTTTATGTAAATTTAAGGATTATGTTTTCCACTTAATACCATCTATATAAGTGTTTTATGACCCATTTAACGATTTTTTTTCTCTTCACTGCTTTCTAACATTTAAAAGTCATTAGGCATTAAAATTATTCATAAAAATCCCTTTTCGGAAGTGTCGGATACAATGTCAATGATTATTTCTGCTGTTTGCATTTTTGTAAGTACTCAAAAACTGACAAAAGAAATTTAATAGTGCATCAGATTACCTTTAGTGGCGGTGATTACAAAAAATGGAGCAAAAAAGGAGCAGAGAACAGAAAAAAAATAACATGGGTAATTAAAATATGGAAAAAATAAATGTAAATAAATAAAACCAAAAATAATTGTAACAAAAAATTACAAAATTTAAAAAAGAGGGAAAATAACAAAAAAAAACTTAAAATAACAAAAACAACGGTAGAAAAATAAATAATTATATAAATCAAAAAACAACGTAATTACATAATAATTTTAAATTTTAATTATTGAATCGTTAGTATTATGTTTACAAAAATTAAAAATTGAAAATAGTTTTAAGAATTGCAAAAAACAAATTCTTACAATTATTACAATTAATACATTTCTTACAATTCTTAGAATTATTACAATTAATACATTTCTTACAATTATTACAATTAATACATTTCTTACAATTCTTACAATTCATACAATTCTTACCATTCTTACCATTCTTACCATTCTTACCATTCTTACCATTCTTACCATTCTTACCATTCTTACGATTCTGGCAATTCTTACCATTCTCATAATTCTTACAATTCTTACAATTGTAAGGGGTTTTCTCGCCACAGAGAAAACGATTCCTTACGAATGACGCTGGTTACGGGCGGTTCTCGAGCGCCAGATTTTTGGTGATGGTTTACTCCACGAACTTTCGAAACGGCGTCGAAAGTACTTGGGTAGCTACAGATGGAGATGAAAAATTCCAGTGGTCAAAGGTCACTTAAACACAGGTAATAGTAGTTTTGTCAAAATTAAAATGTGAAATAAACTAAACACACACTACAACACGACACTGTTTATTTATTGTACTATAATATTGTAAAATGATACGTAAGTTATCAAATACAAAGTTCTCCGTTGACTTGTTGATAAAAAAGTATATTTTTGTTTGTTTCCTTTAATTTACTTCAAATTTAAATAAATCAAAAACCAATAAATAAAATTTAAAATTATTTAAACTAATGAATAAAGAATTAAAAACCCATTCAAATCAGTCGACTCCTGCTGCTTAATAAATTTTTAAAGCCGGAAACTCTTACTGGAATATTTATTATATAAAAAAAATGACAAAACGATAATAAAATAAAAAAAAAACAAAAAATAAGAAAATAGAAGAACAGAAAATTAGCAAAGTAGTATATCTGCACATGGGATTAAAGGAAAAAAAATAATAAATAAAAGCTATGAAGAACCAAAATAATTAAAATTGGCAAGACCTATTCCATATTTATTTATAGTTTCAAGGTCATAATAATTCTTATTTCAAGCTTCTTTGATATTTTGCCTGGCTTTGCATCTGGGGTAATCTATAGTAGTATGTGATTGCCTTTTAAAATACCCAATTACAATTATTAAGAATTTAGTTGAAATTTAAAAAATAAAAATAAATTATATTTGTATAACACCAAACGTTGAACAACCCCGTAAAAGGCCTTGAAGGAAAATGTAATCCCAAGTGAGAATTTTGAAAAATTAATATCGACGGAGGCTTACATGGTGTCGAGAAAATCCGCTCTTTGCAGCTTACGGCTAGGGATTTTTTTCTACAGGGAATAGTCAGGTTGTCGTATCCTAATCCTACAAAGCTGAAAAGAGATTTACAACCACTTGGATTGGTCAATGCAGTAAATTTTCGAGGGTTAGGAATTTTTATGGAAGCCCTGACTGAACTTGGCATATAAACGGGTATATTAAATTTATAGAATGGAC